CTGTAGATAAAATAAGAAGCCAAATTAATTACTCTTCTGAGAGGATACTAAGCATGCATGTGAAACAATGCAGGATATGTCATTCTTGGTATAAATTATAACTCAGTGCTGAAGGATTACAAAACCAGCATTCTTTTTACATTGATTATTTTTTATTATTATTGTTATCATTGTTTATATAGTTTATATTGCTACCAAATGACCTGGAATTAGCATGACTTCATATATTTCAGATAAAAATAAAAGATATAGTAGAACTCCAGTGAACATTTCAACAGAAATTCCATTTCTATCAAGAAAATCTTTAATGAGTTATCCACTGCTGGTTATAGCAAAGGTAGAATAAGCTGAAACTATGTCCTCAAGCCATGAGACCAGTGATCAGCAAACTACAGTCCACAGGCTGCGTCTGTCCCATGAGACCTTTTACTCCAACACTCGAGCTCCAGCCAGGGAGTGGGGTCAGGGGTTTGCCCCATTCTATGCATGCTGTGGCTGCCCATGCTCCAGAAGCACGGGCAGTCAGGGGGCACCACATGCTGCCCTCACCCCAAGTGCCAGCTCCGTAGCTCCCATTGATTGGTGGTGCTTGCAGACTGGGAAGAGCATAGAACTGTCTGGCTATGCCTCCATGTAGGAGCTATTGGGGCACAGGCTACTGCTTCTGGGATCTGCTTGAGGTAAGTGCTGCCCAGAGCCTGCACTGCTGAGCTCCCTCACATCTCCAACTCCCCGTCCCAGCCATGATCCCCCTCCTGTCCTCCAAACCACTCAGTCCAAGCCCAGACAACCATTGCTTCACACCAAACTTCTCACCACTGGCCTCACCCAAGAGCCTTTCACTCCAGCTGGTGCCCTCAACTCCAGCTAGTGCTCCAAACAGCCAATTTCATCAGCGTTCATGGCCCACTATTCAATTTCCATACTGAGTTGTAGCTCTCAGGCTAAAAAGATTGCACAACTTTCTATAAACTTTTCGACTTTTCAAGGAAGTTGAATGGAAATGTGGATGAGTCCCAAATATCATAATAATGAATGTAATAATGAAGTAATCTGAAGGCTTGATAGCTCAATGAAGAGCTTTTTTTTTTTAGAGGCAGTACTGATATTTAGTGATGATATTTAGACTTGTTTTATATCACTTATTTAAGGAAATGGCTCATACCAAACCATTCAGAAATCTTCAAAACAAAGTGAGGTTGTTCATGAAATCAGTTTTTCTAAACTGAGACAGTTTTCAAAATATCATATACATGTTTTGGAAACTCGATCCAGGTCTTATTCTTGGCTGATTAATGGCCACAACCAATCACTTTCCTTCATGCGAGCAGTCAGTGCGGCTACTATATTGGGTAAGGATGGCAGAAAGAGGCTCAACAGTACAGGGACATATTTAAAACAGAAGTAAATACAGAATTGCACTAAACAGACAATCTGCTATCACCAAATTTAGAATTATGCTGCATATAACTCAGTTATTACAAGAGTTGTAATTTGCTATTAAACCAAAAAGCATTTTCTTTTATAATGCCAAATTACCTATAAGGAAATGAATTACTACTGTCCCTTGTAAGTACAAATATGCTAAAATTGTACTTTAATGAAGTGCATTATAAGCACTTCCCCACAGATAACAATTTGCGTGAGATCATGGCCTCACTGAAGTCAGTGGTTACATTTTATGTGCACTTAGCTCTCCTTTAAGAGAACTGATGTAAAAATTGATTACCAGGGATACAGAAACTCCAGGTGTATTTTTTCAGCTTTTCTGTCCAAATAATTTGTATATCAGAGACCAGTTGAAATGAATAGATATCATAAATATAAACCACATTGGAGTTCTTTCCCTGCTACGTATCTTAGCATTATATTTCTGCTTTAAATAAAGCATCAAATACTCATTGGTATTAAAAATAAAGCAAATAAGTTAAAAAGTATTCATAACATTTTGTAATAGTTTCCAAGATTTCATTCTTTGTGAGTCCCCCACCTTAGAGAGCTTACAATTTATGCCAGACCAACATGTATCATGAAAGCCATTTATGTTCTATGACCTCATTGTCTTCCACTGACTATATTGAGTCCAAAATTATATTCAAGAATTACAGTGAATGAGGGAATGGTGCCTGTGGAGGAAATATAAATACTAATTTAAACTAACATTATGAAAATTCTCTTAGATTCTTGCCTGGTGGTTTACAGCTCATTCCAAGTTTATAAACCTTGCAGATCAAAAGACTGCTTCCAGGACTTAGACAAGGCTATCTTTAATTTCCACTGTATTTTTCTCTGTATTGCTATAGGCTAGACATGTGCATGCAGGTTTGTAGAAAATGTCTATGATTGTAGAATAATGCATATGTTATATAATAGTACCAAATTAAAAACAACTTTATTGCTGGCATTTCCTGACTTTTGGCATGTATTCAGCCTTAATCTTCTCTTAATGTAATTTGAAATTAAATATATACATGCATGTCTTACTTATCTGTATAAAATCACATATACATGGTCACATCAAATACATTTTAAAAGGAAGAAAAGCATCTGATTTAAATTTGACTGCTGCTGTTGAGAAGACATGTTTTATTCATACGAAAATGTGAATCAAATCAGTGAATTAAATTATACTTGGAAGAACATAACAGCATTTAGTGGAGACAGACCAAAACATTTTGCAAGGAGGAATATGAATTTTGGGTGGATAGAGGACAAACTGGGTATTTACCCACTCATTAGGGATAGATTCAGTAGTATATACTATAGTACAGTACTTCCTTATATGACTAAAGAGCCATCAGGAATAGGACAGAAGCACCATAAAAGGATCTCATTTACAAAATGATCTGAAGAATGAACCATTGAAGAACTGCTACATTAATAGACAATAAAACTGATGAAACAAATCACCAAGAATCTTTTCTATTATTATAGTTCACTGCTCTAGTATAGCATTATGTCTTGGTGATTGTATGAAATATTTTAATCTAGCTATAAAAGGTACTTCTGATGCTATGATCAATGCCATTGATACATCACAGACAAAGCTATATAATATATAGCTTTCTGCAGACCAGGGGGACGGGGAGCAAAGCAGAGCAAAGCCACGGAGCCCGAGGGCAGCAGGATAGCCACGGCGCGTCTGGGCTGTCCCGCTGCCCCCGTGCTCCGCTGCTTTGCTCCGGACGCCTGTGGTACACAGCTGGGGCGCTGCCGGTTGGTCCCGTAGCGCCGCTCTGGGCGCCACTGGACCAACCCAGCAGCACCCCAGCTGCTCTGCCCCAGGTGTCCCCAAGTCAGCCCCGGGCTTCCTGGAATCAGCTGCTGATCAGTTTCAGCAGCAGCTGACTTGGGGCTGCCTGGGGTTCTTAAGTTGAATCTGTATGTAAGTCAGAGCTGGCGTCCAGATTCAGCCGCTGCTGAAACTGATCAGTTTCAACAGCGGCTGAATCTGGACGCCAGCTCTGACTTACATACAGATTCAACTTAAGAACAAACCTACAGTCCCTATCTTGTACGTAACCCAGGGACTGCCTGTACTCCTTTGCATCTGATTATTTCTTCGTGTATTAAAAAATGTGAACTGAAAATCTTCTATAAAGTAAAAATGCCTTTGAAATACCATGGACATCATCCTCAAAATTATTATTTTTGCTAAGTCCACCTACCATTTACATATAAAATATTGCCTTAATTAAACAGGGCTCTTTCCCAAAGATAATAAGAAATTCAATTATGCAGCACTTTATCAAATTAATTAACTATCTATTCATTTTATGAGGCATCAGATAACTTTTCCATTTTCTTCTTAAAATGGGATGATGTCATTAGTATGTCATTTACCAAAATAACTCCATAGTCTACCAAAACTGTACTAAAATGTGATCTGATATTACATGAAGCAGAACTTCAGCTTTGGAATATGGTTTGTACAATAATGTTTTTGACCTTCCAGGTTAAACAAAAAAAAAGGATAGAAATTGCAATTGCTACCCACAGATGGTAAAGTAGCATAATAACTGAATCTTGCTAATTTGTGAACAATCAAATACTGATATAACAGGAAAAATACCAACTAGTTCTTATTCTATTTTTATTTTAATTATTCCAGATGAAATCTTTGGAAATCTATGATTATATAGTGAGAGGAAATGCAAGTATGGACGTGGGGAATTGTAGCCCATCAGTGCTCATGGAGGGTCTCTTCCCCATCTAGGCCAGTGGGTGGCCACTCCGCCTACGTTCATAGAGCCTCTTTAGTCCTAGGTCCCAGGCTAGATCAAGGTTAGTCTCTGAAATAAGAGGCATGGGTGGGCTAGTACATCTCGGGCAGATGTCTGGTTCTTCTGCTGACTCTGCCCTATCTGAGCTCCTGGCTGGCTTTTATAGCTCTGGCCATGCCTCCTGACTTCCAGTCATGTGGGGGGAGGAGGGGCATGGGGTCAGGCTCAGCCAAAGAGGGCTTACAGAGGGGCTCCTCCCCCTCTGGATCAGTGGGTGGCCACTCCGCCTCACTACAGGAATACACAGAAATGGTACAGTACACTCCTTTTATATGAATCACATCCATCTCAGATGATTTCTTGTAAGTCGTTGATTTTTACAAGCTGATTCTATGAATGAAATTGACTTTTATGTTTTAAATAGCCAATGTTTTTATTCAATAGAGAATTTTATTCATGTCTCAATTACACTAACTAAATTCTGTAGACTTAAAATGTATTCAACATGGACTAAAACCATACTAATCTTCTAACTGAGCAACACGCTATTATTCTCATCCTCATCACCTAATTATTTAGCTGTTCCTTTATTCAAGGCAATTATTATTATGGTATAGTACGTTACAACTTTAGATAAAGCATAAGTTAGCCAGGGGAGCCAACATCCTTGCTTATGTGTGTATGTGTGGGGGGTGGATCCACGCTCCTGGAAGGGGCGGAGTTTTCAGCAAATGGAGGCAGCCAGTCATTAGCACGGCCTGTCCCATGGTGCATTCC